GACCATAGTTCGGTACCTCTCCCATATTTCATGCAACGGCTCATTGGGCTCTTGTTTGAATGTTAGAATCTAGTCTCTAAGAGTAGCCATATGTCCGAGAGAAAAGAACTTGGAAATAAATTTCTCCGCCAATTCATCCCATGTATGGATGGAGTGATTTGTCAATCTTTCTAACCAATCCAAGGCTTTTCCCCGTAGAGAGAAAGAAAATAGCCTCAACCTTAAAGCATCTTCGGAGACGTTTATCTGTTTACTCCCCCAACAAGTGTCCACAAACCCCTTCAAGTATTTTTATGCATTTTGACTCGGAGCCCCGGTGAAGAATCTCGTTGCTCTAACAATGTGAGCACTACATTCGTGATTTGAACGTTGCCCGCCCTAATGCGGGGACGGGCAATGGCACTTGCATACCCTTCATTCGGCAACACCTGGTGTGGAGCCACTCTTGGTGGAGATGGAGGTGGAACTGGGACATTGTCTTGAGGCGCCCAGACTCTTCTATTTACTTGAGGTTCATGAGGAACCTCTTCAACTTGGTCATTTTCAACGTCCACATCCCCCAAAGGCATGTTTCCGAGTTGATCGTTGTTGTTTGCCATTATGGTACCTAAAATTGATTCACATAAATTAGTAACAAGGAAGGAAAATAAGATAATGCACACACAAAACCAAATATATAGCTAAATCCGTTTTTATGCTCCCCGACAACGGCGCCAAAAATTGATCTCGTCCAACTTCACTCCTCTATTTGAGGATATGAAAACGGTCGATGCAATAGTAATACCCAACAAGGATTCGGGTCGATTTTTTACAGGGAGCTATGAATGGGACTTAGGGATATATATTATAGTGTATGAGCTTGAATTATCTCAAATTGTATTTTCACAAACTCGGGTTGTTTCTAGGTCTAATTTAAACTAAGATTACAAACTAAGAATTTAAACTAAGAAATTATTTTTGGTTGTTTTTCAAATGATATAAAAGGCCAAGGGCTATGACCTTCACCTAGGTGTTCGCTTAATGGGTTGTAAGCCTTAAATCTTGTTTTATTGGTCGGGGTGTATTATAGTCATCAACACTTGAGTACCCACTCAATACCTCTTAGAGAGTGACTTTGCCCAATTTGGCTTTCTCAAGTCCAAATGGGTGTTGAACAAAACGGTTGATAACAAGGTCAAGTCAGATTTTACTATTTCTAGATTCAACCCTTTAATTGGGACTATCAATGCCTTAATTCACCCCAATTCCTTGTTAGCCAAGTTTTCCTAGATTAAGTCTCTCTTTCTCAAATAGAGACCAAATCAAATAGGCATGAACTAATATTTGCAACACCATAATTCAAATACCCATTAAGTTTACAATCTAGGGTTGGGCCACAACCCTAGTAAAAATCTAGCTACTCATTGTTACACCCTTTGCGTCCCAAGATGACATAATGAATATGAGACTTGTTAATCATGATTTAAATGATTTTAAAGTCATAATATGGCTATATATGATGTTTGGATAGAAAATATGAAGTTTGGGAAAAATCGGATTAAAGTTGCGAAAAAACCGACTAAGTATTTGCCTTGTAACAGATCTTTTTGAGAAATAAACATGGTGTTATATATGAGGTCTTTTGGGGACATATTATATACTAAATTGAAGGTCTTGAAATTTAGTTTCCATCTCTCTTAATCGTACATTCATACGACACCCGGATAAAAAGTTATAAGCGTTGGAAGAAGGACCAATGCTAGGGTGCCAAGTAGCACCTTTTGAGTTTTCAAACAAAATGGATATTTATATCCTTATCTCGTTTATTTCCTCAATTTTCTAGAACACACAACCAAATAAGACTCCTAACTTTACTCTTAAGCTCTCTGCAAGAGCTTCAAACAAGATTATCATCCCGGGCACGGAATCAAGAAACGATAACATTAAAATGATCCCTACAATGTAAGTATCGCTATATCGCCTCTCTTTTTCTTTATAGTTTGAGTTTTGGAAGGTACTTCATAGTTATGAAAACATGTACTTTCTGTATTTAAGTGTTTAAATATCAAGGAAGGTTGATAAATTCGTTTCCTAATAGTTAGAACTCATAGGACGGTGATCGGAAGTCGTGAGTTTGAGTTATTTACTTATAGCGGACTATTTTGTGGATTGTTTTGTGTTGCTGTTGGGATGCATGTTTTACTACTGTTTTATGGAGTTTTGGAGGATTAATGTTGTGGAGAAACACCACATAAATTCAGGGTGGTGGGTTGGTCGTTCGTCGTAACATTTTTGGGCCGTTTGACACTACTACGGTGGTCGTTTTATGTATGAAGAGATTGGGGGTGTTGGGCTATTTTGTAGTATTTTGTGGTGTATATAAGGTTGGAAAATAATTTATACAAGTTTAAATTATTGTATTTGGTGTTATCTTGAATTTGAAGGAAGTAAGGATTATAAGGGAGATGCTGCCCGTTTTAATACAAAATAAGCTTGTCGTTCGTTGTGCGATAGTTGTACCTTTCGTAACTTAATGATAGTATTATTATTGTTGTTGTAGATTAAGGTACGAAGAGGTGAGTTCAACTTGGTGATTGGAAATATTGTGATAAGGTATGTTAAGGTTATCCCTTCTTTTCTTTTAGCATGATCCGTACGATACAAACGAAACGAGCAAATGCACAACTTTCATAAATAACTCTATTCATAGAAGTATTAGAGATGCCTACGTTCTTGATTCCCCATGTGAATTATTATTATATCTTCTGTTCATGGGTCTCAGAAAAATACGCAGTTGATAAAGTTTATCCGAAAGGTATATTGATCTTATTAATATATTTCTTATGCATTTTATTCATTTATACATGTACATTGACCTGTGACCAGATGGCACTATATACGCGTATATTATATGTATATGGTATATGGGAAAAGGTTACGGCGTTATATACGCACCACCACCTGATCAGCTGGTATACGTTGATGATTTCGCCCACATTAGCTGAGATGATATGATAGGATGCCCTCAGAGGCTTGATGATGTTGTGTACGCATATACTTATGCATGGTATGGCATTTATACGCACATGCATGGCATTATAAATATTTTCATGATTCACAGAGCTATTCGGACTTACAGGTTGAGTTCCTTACTCCATGTTTCTTTCATGCCTTACATACTCGGTACTTTATTTGTACTGACGTACCTTTTGCCTGAGGACGTTGTTTCATGCCCGCAAGTCCCGATAGACAGGTTGAGAGTTCTCCTAGTAGGATATCAGCTCAGCAGAAGGTGTTTGTGCACTCCACTTGCTCCAGAGTTGCCTATTTGGTCAGTATAATTTGAATATGTATTGATTGGTATGTCGGGGCCCTGTCCCGACCTTTATAACATTTATGTACTCTTAGAGGCTTGTAGATAGATGACATGTATATGGATACTTGTATGGCCTTATCGGCCTATGTCTTGAGTATACAAATGATTATGTCGGCATTATAGGCTCGTATGTCACATGTATAAGTTTTTATATCATGTTGGGCCGTCCTATATCTAGTATTCCCTTATGTTTTATACTAGTTATCTCATGACGGGCTTTCCGGTTCATTTATCCATGATAGTATGATAAGAATGATACGTTACATTGGTATTCGGTTTAGTTAGGCATCGGGTGCCCGTTGCGGCCCTACGGTTTGGGTTGTGACACTCATGCTTAAGACAGAAGAAATAGAAGAAGAAATAATAATTAAACCCATATTGATAATTAGAATAAACAAATCTATGTTCAAAAGGCTCAAAATGGCAAAAACTACTAAAGAGAGTAAAGAAAAATGGCTACTGTATCTGCTGATGTCAAAACTTGACCTAAAAAAGTGAATCTCTTCTATTTATACCGATGGCTCTGGCGACGAGTCGGGCCCTGGTGAAGATTAGGCGTAGATCCCTTAGTACTTTTTTTAGTTTTTATTGGGCCTTTGTAAGTATATTCCAGAATATATATGAAAATTTTCCTTTCTGGCAATTTCGAGTCTTTACTTTTTCAAGATCTTTTCATAATTTCTATTATTGCACTAATTCTAATGCCTTAGCATATAATCAAATGTATTTATAGGGCGTTCATTTTTCAGAGGTCTGAACGGAACGTGACTTCGATACAATTTTGTTTGCTCGAGGCTTTGAAAATTCGGTGTGATCGGAAGATTTTTCAAGATGCTTAAGTGATATTAGACGATGTTTTTGTCGAGGGTAACCTTTTAGCAGGTTTCGAATTTTTATAAAGGTCTTACTTTCTAGTTACGAGCTTCTGACAACTCGGGCTACGACTATTTTTAGGGCGATCATAGCCTTTTGTATTTAGGCACCGCCTAATAGGTTTGGTGCCTCGGGGATTTAGTAGCCCGAGTTGTCCGAACTTTATTTTTTTGGATGACAGTCCCCGAGTGGGGTAGCCTTTGGGCTCGATAGTCCCCGAATAGGGGTATCTCATGGTCTCTTAGGATCCAAATTTAAGAGGCAAAAAAATGTGTAATATCAAGGCAAAACTTTCTTTTATTTCTATGTGTAAAGTACATGATCGAAAAGGCTTGTGTCATGGATAAAGTGGACTATATGGGCACAGTTCACATAACCGTTTGGGCCTTACAATGAATCCTAACCACCTAGCCTTAGCATCTAGCATACAAGATTTTCTTTTTTCCTTGCTAAATTTTCCCTTGCTGAAAATCTTAATCCGAGGGTAATGGCCCCAGTATTCGAGGTCGAGCTTGAGAGGGCTCGGATACTGTTGATGCGAAATGAACGCCCATTAACTCTGATTTGAGACCGGCCTTCGAATCTAAGTTAGCACGTTTTATTGCTGCCTCGTTAAAAACCTTGCGAAAAACCCATTTTGGGACAAAACCGGTTCAAGGGAAAAAGAGTGCAACGCGTGCTTTCAGACCTAATAGCCACATCCATTCTTGAGCGTTGCTTGAAAGCGTTAGTCCGATTCATAACATGATTAAAGAGTAGTTGAGATCGTACCTTAGCAGTAGTACCGTTTTAAGTGTGTCATGTTCAAATTGTTCGGTAGTTGCACATCGTTTCGTGCTACGAGTTTGTATGAGCCTTTGCCGGTAATTCCGATGACTCGATACAGTCCTTCCCAGTTCGATCCCAGCTTTCCTTCATTCAGGTTCCGAGTGTGTAATGTTACTTTCCTCAACACCAAGTCCCCGATCTTGAAATATCGGAGAATGGCTCTTCGGTAGTAGTATCTTTCTATCCGCTGTTTCTGGGCGGCCAACCAGACTAAATATGCCTCACCCCTTTCATCCAATAGTTCTAGGCTTGTGACCATGGCCTTGCCATTTGACTCTTCGGTTGCATATTGGAATCTGAGGCTCGGCTTTCCCACCTCGACCGGTATCAATGCTTCAGCCTCGTAGACCAAAGAAAACGGAGTGGCCCCGGTACTAGACTTCAAGGTTTTACGATAAGCCCATAGGACTTCGGGCAAGATTTCTTTCCATTTCCCTTTGGCATCGGTCAACCATTTTTTTAGGTATTGAAGTATGGTATTGTTTGTTGACTCCACCTGTCCGTTCCCACTAGGGTGGTAAGGTGTTAATAGTATCTTTTTAATTTTGTGATCTTCGAAAATTTGTTTACCTTGCTGCCTATAAATTGCTTCCCATTATTACACATGACTTTGGCCGGTATCCCAAATCGACATATTATGTGGTCCCAGATGAAGTTAATGACTTCTTTCTCCCAGACCTTTTCGAATGCTTGGGCCTTGACCCATTTGGAAAAATAGTTAGTCATGAATAGTATGAATTGAGCTTTACCGAATGCCCATGGAAGGGGACCGACGATGTCCATCCCCCATTTCATAAATGGCCATGGGGATAGGACCGAGTGTAGTAGCTCTCCTAGTTGATGGATCATCGGTGCATGTCTCTGGCAGTCGTCGCATTTTCGTACGAAATCCTTCGCATCCTTCTCTATTTCGGTCCAATAATTTCCGAACCATAGATTTTGTCCCCGAATGGTTTCCGCAAGTGCCTTCATGAACTTCTCTCAAGGCGTACTCGGTATCTCCCAGCCCCAAGCATCTGGCCAACGGGCCATTGAACGTTCTGCTGAACAATGCCCCTTCGACCAAGCTAAATCTGGCAGCCTTAGTACGCTGAGCTCTCGATTCTTTGGGGTCCGAGGGCAATTTCCTAGTTTTCAAGTAGTCTAGGTACTTATTCCTCCAATCCTTGGTTAAACTCGTTGAGTTTACTTCGGCGTGGCCTGCTTCTATCACCGACTTCATTATTTGTACGACTGTTCTCGAACTAAAATCATCGCCATCAACCGATGACCCCAAGTTGGACAGAGCATCAGCCTCACTGTTTTGATCTCGGGGAACGTGTTTTAGGGTCTATTCTTTGAATTGATGTAGTGTTACCTATAACTTGTCTAAATACCTTCGCATTCGTTCCTCTTTCACTTTGAACGTCCCATTGACTTGATTAACCACGAGGAGGGAATCGTACTTAGCTTCGACCACCTCGACCCCTAGGCTTTTAGCCAATTCAACACCTACAATCATGACCTCATACTTGGCCACATTATTAGTCAATTTTACAGTTCTAATAGACTGCCTAACTACATTCCCCGTAGGGGGCTTCAGTACGATACCGAGCCTAGACCCCTTTGCGTTCGAGGCACTGTCCGTAAAAAAAGTCCAAATTCTCGAGGTAGTCCCCAAGGCTAATAGTAATTCTCTTTTGACTTCGGGCACTGAGGGTGGCGTAAATTCAACCACAAAATCGGCAAAAATTTGAGATTTTATGGCAGTTCGGGTTCGATACTCGATATCATACCCGCTAATTGTGACGGCCCATTTAGCCAACCGACCCGATAGCTCGGGCTTGTGCATGATGTTTTTCAGTGGATAAGAGGTTACGATACATATGGGGTGACATTGAAAGTACGGTTTCAACTTTCTGGAGGCGCTTAGCAAAGCGAGCGCCAATTCTTCTAGGTGAGGATACCTTGTTTCGGCCTCGCCTAGAGTCCTACTGACATAGTAAATAGGGAATTGCGTACCTTCCTCTTCACGAACTAAGACTCCACTTATGCCACCTCAGAAACCGCCAAGTAAAGGTACAATTGTCATCCGCCTTTGGAGTGTGGAGCAAGGGGGGACTCGAGATGTACCACTTGAGTTCTTCCAAAGCTTGTTGGCATTCCGAGGTCCAGGAAAAGTTATTCTTGTTCTTCAATAGTGAAGAAGAACCGATGACTTTTGTTCGAGGACCTTGATATGAACTGGCCAAGGGCGGCTATACGACCGATCAGCCTCTAAACGACCTTGATGTTGTCAAATCCGGTGATGTCTTCTATGGCTTTGATTTTATCGGGATTGATCTCGATCCCTCGATTGGATATCATAAACCCGAAGAATTTTCTTAATCCGACCCCGAATGCGCATTTTTCCAGGTTCAGCTTCATATTGTATTTTTCAATATGTCGAAGGTTTCCTGCAAATGTTTCAAATAGTCCTCTGCTTGCAGGGACTTGACTAACATGTCGTCAATATAAACTTCCATTGATGTTCCTATATGTTCTTCGAACATCCGGTTTATTAGGCGTTGGTAGGTGGCATCGCCGTTCTTTAATCTAAATGGCATTACGTTATAACAATAGGTGCCGAATTTAGTGATAAAGGATGTTTTTTCTTGATCGCCCGGGTCCATCTGAATTTGGTTGTACCCGGAATAGGCATCAAGAAAAGAGTATCTTGAGCCTGGTCGTCGTGTCGATCATCTGATCGATGTTAGGCAAAGGAAAAGAATCCTTAGGGCATGTCTTGTTCAGATCTTTAGAATCTATACACATTCTTAGCTTATTTCCTTTCTTAGGTACTACCACTACGTTAGCTAACCAGTCTGGGTACTTAAACTTCCCAAATGGATCCTATTTTAAGGAGTTTAGATACATCGTCCTTGATGAAAGCGTGTTTGACTTCGGATAGCGGTCTCTATTTCTGCTTAACCGAATGAAACTTCGGGTCCAAACTCATCTTATGAGTGGTTACCTACGGCAGGATTCCTGTCATGTCAAGATGGGACCAAGAGAAACAATCTATGTTAGCTATAAGAAATTCAATGAGTTTTTTCCTGAGCCCGGGAGTTAACCTCATGCCCTGGTATACCTTCCGGTCAGGCAAGTGTTTGATCTTGTGGCATCGGAGTCATCGAGACCAATGAACGACCTAGGAACTCTGTAATCGTCCTCCTCGCCTACTCCTCGGTCTTCTGGTTCGGTCGAGGCCGGTATAGGTGATTGCTATCTAAGTTGTTCCTTCCTGGTTGGCTTCGTGTTCCTTGATGTCGAGATCGTTGGTACTGGGATCACCTCGTTGACTGCGAACATTTCTTTTGCGGTCGGCTACTCTCCGTAGACCGTCTTGATTCCTCCCGGTGTTAGGAACTTTAATGTCTGGTGCAGTGTTGAGGGTACTGCCCTCATGTCGTGAACCCATGGCCTTCCGAATAAAGCGTTATACCTCATGTACCCTTCGATCATGTAGAATTTCATATCTTGAATTGTCCCGACGGTATTCACTGGCAAGGTTATTTCATCCTTAGTAGTTTCGCATGCCATATTAAATCCGTTCAATACCCGGACCGTCGGTACTATTTGATCTTGTAATCCCAACTGCTTGACGACCCTCGATCTGATGATGTTGGCCGAACTGCCTGGATCAATCAACACACATTTAATCCAAGATTTTTTAATAAGTACAGATATCACCAGTGCATCATTATGAGGCTGTACGATGCCTTCGGCGTCCTCATCGCTGAACGAAATGGTTCCCTCCGGAATGTATCTCGGGTGCGTTTTTCCCTCGTGATGGATACTTTTGTGCGCTTTATCATCAGTCCCTGGGGGACATCGACCCCTCCAATGATCATGTTGATGACGTGCTGAGGTTCTTCTTATTCGGTCTATTTGTTGGAGTCCATGTTCCTGAAATAGTTTTTGGCTCGATCACTCAGAAATTCTCGGAGATGCCCATTATTGAACAACCGGACGACCTCTTTTCTCAACTGTCGGCAGTCCTCGGTCCGGTGGCCATGAGTTCCATCATATTTACACATCAGGTTAAGATCTCTCGGGATAGGGTCGTACTACAATGGTCGAGGCCACTTGGTTTCCTTGATGCGCCCAATGGGTAGGGTCGGACTGCAATATATCTCTCATTAATCAATTATATGCCTACTTCGTTGGTTCTAGCTTTTCCTTCTTTGCGTTCGTTCATTCTTCTTCTTTTTTTAATGATGATTTTATTTTCCAATTTTAACTCAAATTTTTTAAATCAACAGTTTCTATTTTTTATTTAAGAAAATATTCAAATGAATTAAATTTATAGCTTAGTATCTCAAAAAGTTAAAAAAAATTGTGAACATTAAATAAATATGTATTAATTTTATTAAAAAATTTATAATATCTTATTAGATTTTGGTTTTAAGTCACCGATATTATTAAGCGGTCTCTGCTCAATATGCAGTTGGCATGATAGAGACTTAGAGCCATTCTGCTGCTCCTTTCATTAGTTAAGTAGAAGTCCTTAGTGGCATATTATCCTTTCAAAGAATTACCGCTAATTAAACTGTAGTAAGTTGAATTACTTCATTTGGCCAAATGAACAATTCATCACTCTTTTAGCTTGACGACAGTTAAACTTATATATAGTCAAACCTCTGTATAACAATATCCTTATTTAATAACCATTTATTATAAAAGTTAAGTTTTTTCGGAACTGATTTTTTATATTATGTTATAATATATGTTCTCTATAACAGCACCTCACTATAGCAGCCAAAAAATATCGAAACAAACAAAGTTGTTATAAAGAGGTTTGCAGCTTCTCATTTCGTCAACTTCAGGTAAACTTAATTAGTGGAATACTATTGCTAATATTTTACCTTTTTTTTAAACATGGAAAACGTAGGATAAAAGCTCAAGCCATCAACACCCGTACTCCACCATCCCCAAAAAATCCTCTTCTTTAACGGTGAATAAGCAAAGAAAGCCATTTGGGGGCAGCAGCGGGTAGAAGCCAAGCAACGGGTTTGGCTGAACCCATTAACTCTTTTTTAATTAGTGTATTTATGTTAAAAAATTATTAAATATGAACAAATATTAAATTTAAAATTTAATCATTAGTACTTAAAGTTGTCGCTCTAAAATTCAAAACTCATAATTTTAAAATCTTGACTCCGCCTCCGGAGATGTGAGGTCGACACTGGATTAATTTATTTTTATTTTTTTTGGGCTAATGGATCGACACCGGATGTTATAATGCTAATGCAAATTGCCAAAAAAATAATGAATGAAACTTCCCATTATGAAAGCAACCATGCATAGCAATAAATATCAATTAATATCTAATTTCTATATGTCAATTACATGGAGTGGTAGGAGACAAATCTTAAAAACCTGAAATAAGTGATCAGTAGCATATGCATTTTCATAAGAAAACACATGGTGTGGTGATGACGATCGGGACCGCGCACCATTGACAACACCACCACACGAGGTTGCCAGAAATCTATCGTTAAATATCGCTGCTTGACATTATTTAATTAAAAATTTTGATGGTTAAAAAGCTAAGGAACTCTCTATAGAGATGGAAATATTAAGTGCGAAAGTGCTATTACGAGTAATTTGCTTTCTGCCATTTGACTAAAATAATTGATATGTGGTTTGGAAGCGAGAGGTGGCTACTTTAATGAATTCTTATTAGAATTGCCACTACAACACAATGTATTTATTGCTACGAAATTTTAGCTACGTATTTAAAAATCGTGGCTAATACTAACAATAGCCATAAAAATTAGAATTTCCTGGCTATTAACAAATTTGTAAAATTTGCTAGCCACGAAAATTAAATTGGTAAAGCTAATTCCTTGTTTTTGCTATAATTGATAACAATCGTAGCAATAACTACCTAAATAGCTACAATTATTTTTGCTACAATAAAGTTGCATAGCTAATCATAAGTTTTTGCCACGCGTTAAAAGTTATTGTAGCAATAACAACCTTTTAGCTACAAAAACTTATTTGAAACAAAATATTGTAGCTAAAGAAATACATTTGCTTCAAGTTATAAAAAAATGTGGTAATACGTAAATATTTACCCGAAAAACGGATAGAGTTAAATTTGTACGTATATCTAAGGATATGTATTATAACTCAACACAAATCGTATGGATAAATAAGAATATCTAATATTTGACTGTGAGGATGAAAGATATGAAA